GATAAGGGCCCTATGTACAACAGGATGAGGCAGACTGGTCCTGTGTGGACCTCACAACTGCTCTTACGTTTGAGCCCACGGCTGCAGCCACTGTCTCTTTCTTGTCCAAGGATGTTCCCTTTTACCTTCTCCCCTTCTATTTCACCAAGCAGGACGATGTTCTTTTCCAGACTGGTCTCTCCTCAAGGAGCCCCGGCGGGGGACAGTGGGTTCCGCACTAGGCTGCTAACCACAGGTCTGCAGTCCAAAACCACCAACCATTCGAAGGGAGAAAGATGAGGCTTGCTGCTCCCGTAGAGATTTACAGCCGGGCAAACCGAAAGGGCCACTCTACCCTTTCCTACAAGGCTGCTAGGAGTCAGAACAGACTCATCAGCAGTGAATTTGGTTTGCTCTCCTGATAACATGTCCACAGTACACGAGACAGTCTCACCAGTCATGCTTCTACAGAGCATTCTGACTACGTCCTCCTGAACAAATGTCTGTTTCTCTGGCTGTACCTGGAACTTTCCACCTTCTTCCCCAGTCTTCCTTATCCACCGCCAGGCTTCCACAGGCAGATGAGGCAACTGAAAAGAGCATGGCTTGTGCCAGGCACACCTTTGTCCTTAAAGTGACAGCTCTGCTCTTTACCACCTGAAAGCAGACTTGCCCAATGCAATGTGTCCTTTGGTTTCTTGACTTATGATTCCATGAAAATTGATTATGGATCCAAGCAAAATGAAACCCTTGAGAATTTCAGTACTTTCTCCATTTATCATGATGCTGTCTCTTGGTCCAGTTGTGAGGATTTGGGTTTTCTTTACAAGGAATTGCAATCCACACTGAAGGCTGTAATCTTTGACCTTCGTCAGTACATGCTTGAAGCCTTAGCTTTCTTGGGCAAGCAAGGCTGTGTGGTCTACAGACTGCTGATAAGCCTTCCTCCGAGTCTTCATAGCTAAACTTCTCAAATTATTTGTTCAGCCAGCATACAAACCAAGTACTGATACAATTGGTGTTCTCTGCAGTAAAGGGCTCGACGGGGCTGGGAGTATAACTGACTTCCTCTGGCTTCCCTAGTGCCATGAGGCAGGGGTCAGACATGCACCCCTGCAGCAGCCTTCTCCACCTATTCTGACACCAACCATTCCTTCTCCCAGGGCATTCCTTCTATGCACTAGGGTTCAATAATTCATTGTAAGGGCCACAGACAATACTCACATTTAAGGGGTCTACCAGGGAGTGAATAGGCTCTCTCAAGTCTCGATCAGCAAACAGTGAGGACGCAGTCACTGGTCCACAGCAACACCACTCCTCAGCCAGCAGAAGTCTCTCTCCGGCCCTCAGCCTCTAAACCATGTGGTAGCCAAGCCTCCCTTCAGTCCTCAGTCTTTCAGCCACATGGTCCCTTGGCCTTTCTTTCCATGGGCTAGGAAGCCAGCCCACCTGTTGCTGTTTCAGTCACATGTAAGGTCCCCCATAGTATCAGCACTGCTCCTCTGAGTCTCTGTGCTATCGGGTCTCAGCAGCATGCGCCACGCAGACGGAGCTTGGACATGCTCTGAAGAAGACATCCTTATAGCCAGGAGGGGAGGTAACAAAAGCTGGCCAATTCCCTTTTCTTAGTGTTACTCATGCCCTAGTTGCCTTTTCCTGTCCAATCATTTGGTGGGAGTTAAGGAGAGTTGAGTAGAAGAGCCATGCTAAGAAATTTCACTCCACCAGTCTTGAACGATGTGGCATCCCCTTGTTTTTTTGTGTAGTTAATGCTTAATAAGAGGACAAGGGGTTAAAGTAA